ATTAGTCTAGCCTGTTTTCAGTTAATGGACAGAACGTTGAAGCACACTTCCCATCCAATAAATCTCAATAAGCATTGTGCTTTGGTGCTTTTAATATAAAAGTCTCAGATTTCAAATTCTGTCCATTGTATTGCAGTATTCAAACTATAAATGCCGTTTTGGCGCTGTTTAATGTGGAGTGACAGATCGCTGTAGCGCCTCAGTTCAATAAAAGCGGCAGCACGAGGTGCATATGAACTGATCATCTCCTCTGCTTTAATACTAGTTATAGCACAAAATAAACATGACTAAACATCCGAAGGTATGTTAAAAGAAAGAGTACAACTTTACAATCCGTATCCTGTCTCATGTAATCGCTCAATCAGTGTTTCAGCCGCGCAAACACGTCAATATAACAGCTTGTAAGCAATGTCACGTCACATTTACCTCAGAAAAACATATTCGGTGACCATAAACTCATTAGTCAGATAGAACAATAAACTGTAGAGAGGGGCATTTTGCTAAATGTATGCACCATATAACATTCATTATAAATTTTACTGCTCTTCAAAGTTTAATTTATGTTTGAATAAATCCAAGTTTTTATGACAGCCACCATTATGTTTATATAAAAAAAAAAAACAATTGAAATAGAAATATTATGTAATTTTAAAATTAAAAAATTACATAAATATAATTTAAAATTTGTGACTTTATTATTTTAAAAACTTAATTAAGTGAAATTTTAACAAATCAGACAATTTTAACCTTCAATATTATAGTAATGCAGTACCAACTGGCTCTCATGTATATTTTACAGCATTAGTTGAGAGATTTTTTTTCCTTGAGAAAATTTGGCATGTACTGTTAGATAGACAGAAATAGTCAGATTATAGATAGATAGATTGAAAGAAATATTGAGATGATACATATATATATATATATATATATATATATATATAGATATATAGATAGTTAGATAGATAGATAGATGTAAGGTTTGATGCTCAATACAACACATGGATCAATTTTAATAGATTTAAATATTTTTAGTCTATTTATAATGAACATTCTGTCCATTACTTCAGTGAACTTTGAGTGATAGCTTGTTGCAGTGCATTCTTTTCTCTCTACAGATGAAGCTGCTGAATCTGTACATCAAACGAGCTCAAACCCTCAACAGCAACAGCAGCAGTTCTTCAGACGTCTCGTCTCACAGCTGAATCACTCCTCCAGTCCGCCGTCTGCTATCATGTCCTCAAACGCTCTCCCATGATTTTACACATTTGCGAGTAGATCTTTAGCTGCACGTGCGCATTTGCTTCGTTGAAGGGCACGTGATTCATTTAACAGGCGCAAACACTTACACGATTCAAGCGCAGCCCGCTGGGATTTGTGATCGGGTGTGTTTGTGCTTCAGCAAACATCTGCTACCAGTGTGTGTGTGTGTGTGTGTGTGTGTGTGTGTGATGAGTGGGGAAATCATAATCAGAATTAATCAACAGATGTAGAGGCTTCAAGAGAGAAGAGCTGGACAATATATCACCAGAATGATGTCAGTAGAGACATGGAAATGTGTGTATGTGTGTGTATGTGAGTGAGTGTGTGTGTGTGTGTGTGTGTGTGTACAGAAGTCGTGCCTCTGTGTATGTGAAACTGTTTTATTGCTCTTTTACCGTTGCCATGGCGTTTATCTTCCTCAAATTCAAAGCACACGTAACATTCTGTCCGATCATCCGATCAGGAGCCGTCTTACCTATCATTAGTGAATGTAACGCCCATATTTACGTCTTTAACGCTGCTGCCTCAAGGACGCTCTTTTAGTGATGAGATTCATTTTTGGGCCTTTTTGAAATATGCAAGAACAGAGATTGTATTTGTACAGTATTCGTTTTATTTCCGGCCAACAGGTGAAGAGGCTTTGATGGTAAGAACAATGAATTTTAGCGCATATTTAGTTCAAAATCGAAATCTCGCATTCCAGCTCCACACTAACATGGAGATTCATGATAAATGTGCCTCCTTTTGTGATTTAAGGACCATATTGATGCTTTTTGTATTCAAAATATACAATTTGATAATCTTGAGATATAAATAATTCAGTGAGAAAGTATTAGAATCTTCGTCAGTGTTCATTTAGAAATGATCCAAAACAAAACTGAATCAGTAAATGAAAGATTCACTTACAAACACACTCAATTTAGGATATCAATCAATGTATCAATCAATTCTAAACTTTTTAGAGCGATAATTGTAACTAAAAATAAACCAAATTTGGATTTTTACTAGTCAAATTGCTGTTTTAACCCAGTTGTTGTGGTTTAGGGAGGTTTGTGCCGTTTAAAGTGCTCAGTTAGTCTTTTTGTACCCAGTTTTAAATCTTGGTGCTTAAATGAATCACTCTGTGCTTTTGCTAGACGTTTAACTTCAGATTTCATTCGTTTTTCCTTTTAAAGGCCTTACACCAGTTAATGAAGAGAGAGTCACATTATTCACTCTTGTTAGAAATCCCAAAGAACATTCCACACAAAAAAAGTGTTTTTGTGGAGTTGAATCATTTACAATCCTTCTAGTAATGATTCATTCAGAATAAAAAAAGAGGGTATATTTTAGACGTTTTTTATTTAGGAGATTTCTGGACTCTGCATGCATGCAATCGATTCACACAGAGCTGAAGAACTGATTCGGTGTCTTTCACTACACAAACGTCACTACTGTTCACTTCATTATATGTGAAGCTAAGAGAATCAAATATAAGGAAATACTTTATAGTGCACTACATCCAGACCTGCTTGAATCTTTAATTCAGTTTGATAAGAGCAGCTCAGATCAGTGAGTAAATCATTAGTTAACTGGATAAATTTGGTTAACTGAAGGGAGGTTTGCATAAACGCTTTGCTAATGCCGGTAGACCGAGATATAGAGCTTCACATGCAGCGTATGCTTATGTTTAATATCCACGTCTGTATTTATTTGACACTGCGGCTGTATATATATATATATATACATATGACCTGGTTTTGTTCACGTTCACCTGTGTAGAATTTGCTCTAGATAAACCAAACCAGTTTTCCAGTTCTGTGTCTGCGTGAGCTTTATTTGCACGGGATATGATAAGAATGATTTCTGATTATGCAGCGGCTTGTGATCTGTTCTTTAAATATTCATCCATGTGTTGAAGTTATTGATGGCGATTCACTGCTGGTTTAATGCTGACGTCTCGGCGTTCTCGACGTTCTCTTTAATCACGTCAGTCCTGGATTGTGATGGAGAGAAATGCAATGTTTTTAATTGCAGGATGTTTCGTCAGAGCAGGAAACTTCAGTAGAATAATATAAGTCATTAATGGCCAAATAATGATTTATTTGTTATATATGCATAATAATAATAATAGGAAACAATAGAAATAGAATGTGTCATTTTTTTCAATCTGAAGGTTTAACTTAAATCATCTGATGTTTTAATTTTAAAGGCTGAATTTTAAGAACAGGGCCAAATCATATTTGACCCCAAAATCAAAATAAATAAACAAATAAAGCCTGTTTTAGGCCATTAACAATTTGTGAAGCCATCGTGATGAACACTTTTAAATGATCAATATCCTTGAATGTTTGTTTTTTTTGCATTACACACATTCGAATGATGCATTTAAATATCTTGAATATGTTAACTTATATCAATATCACTCCGGACCTTCACAAGTTTCAGTCTTTGTAGTCGTTACTGCACCGTCATTCTGTCCTTTGCTGCTTTTCTATCTTGATATGTACTTTTAATGGATTTATTGTTTTATAAGAGGTGACATTAAATCCATTATTAACTTTTGGTACAACTTATAACTGGAGATTTATTAACAGTTTTAAAGCAGCACTATGATAAACAGAACTGCACACATCCCGCGGAAGAACATTCCAACCGGAGCTACTTCTCTAAGTTTATGTCTCTGGCGATTCACGCAGGTGTGTGTTACTCCGCAGCGGTGACCAGGCTACAATAGTCCAAATATAAGTACTTATTATAAGTGTACCGGAGTGATTCGGAATAAGACAAAAACGCGGGTTGGAAGATGAATTCGTGATGTACTCGCTCATTACATACATTTAGCAAATTTTGAACACAGGAAAAGTTACATAGTGCTGCTTTAAGGTAATCTCACTTTTGAGTCCCACCAGCAGGTGGCGATAAAACAAAGCTGAAGCTCTTGAAGGAAGACTAGCATACTGCATCCTGCACACTATATACTGAGCGTTCATGACTTTTCATTTGGATTTAACAGATGAGGTTTTTCAAATCGTTTATAGGGATTTCTAGAGAAAGAGTTTTATGTAATTACACTGAAAAAAATATTTACTGTTAAATAATTTCACTGTTAGTGAAAATTCACAAATCATTACAAAGAAATCGCAAGTAACATTTAATTAATTAAATGTGAGATTTTGAAGTAGAAATACAGTATTTTATAGAAAGAAATAGCATTTTCTTGCAAAACGTACTCCAATAATCGATTTTATTTGCTTTTTTACAGTGCACACATTTTTACTCCATATAATATTCTGTTTCTAATTTTTTTCATTTCCATGATTTTTTCCATGAGTTCTAGTTTTACATGAACGTGGGAACCCTGCATACTGCATACTGTTTACTATGTTTAAGTATGTGAAACCGCAGTAGCCGATGTCGTTTTAAATATTTCAAACTGTATTTTTTTTATTGCAAAGAAGAAACAGCACTGCATTTTAAATACATAAAACATAAAAGGAAAGAAGAAAAAGTACAAAGAGGTAAACAAAGGAGACCTCTGAAAGAAAGGTAAGATCAAAATTTGGTTTAAATGGGTTTAAGAGATTTTACAGTGTTGGAATTTTCAGTAAGAAAGACATCAAATCTAGGCAAGGTGTTGAAAAATGTGTTCATATTTTCAATGCAAAACAAATTAATTAATTTCGTTGGCATCACATGACGTCATCAGGTCGCGCATAAATTTTAATTCACCAAGTGGCGTGCAATTATTATCTTAAAAATAGGTTTGTAATCTAAATTTGTAGATAAAACGGTCTTAGCTTTTGTATGAGTCAAACAAGAAATCATTGTGGCACACAGTGTCTGACTCATTGCATATTGCAAAAAGTGTGATGCAAGTCTCAGCTTTCAAATGTCATTTATTAAGAAATACAAACAATAAAAACCATTTTGTGGCTCTTTAATGTGTCGAGACGGATCACTGTAGCGCCTCAGTTCAAGCGGCACGTGAACGGATCATCTGTTCCTCTTTACTAGTTATAGCACGAAATAAACATGAGTGAACATCTGGGGCCCGTTTCAATAAGGAGGTTCAACGAACTCTGAGTTGACTTACCCTGAGATGGGTGAGTTTTCGGGTTCAGAACAGCTGAATTGAGTTAGTTTAATCCACTCTGAGTAGGTTGACTGAGTTTAGTCAAAGTCCCTTTAAGGCAAGTCATGTCAAGCTTAAGATTAAATTTCATATTTAAAATCACCAGTGAAATCTGACAACAACTGTCTCATAAATGTTGTTTCTTTTGCTGAAATAGCGTTAAGAAAAGCTTATTTTTCAGGCTAGACCAGCCAGTGCGCATGCGCAGTCCTAAGCGCACTTCTCAGAACTGACTGTTTCTATAGCAACCGGGACTTCTCACGGCAGCTGCAGTGACGCCAGGACTTTACCGATTAGCTATTGGCTCTTTTACTCAGAAGGCGGAGCTTTCTTCAATAGAGCTGCCATATTGAGTGTTGCATTTCCCCCCATTCAAAACTATACGAATGACAAGTCTTGGGTATACTAGTATTAATTTAAGTGTATTTTTCTTGTTTTGCAAATGATCTGGGGTAAGAAAAATAATTGTTTCCTTTTGAAAAACAATACTTGTTTCCTTTTGCATTAAGATTGTTTTTCTTACCCCACTGGCAGATAATTTTACTTGTTTTAAGTAAAATGCACTTATTCCAAAATACTCTGTAAGAAAAGCATTTTTTGCAGTGTAAAGGAATGAATGAAGTATTTAAGCATCGCTTACGCTTTAAAAAGGAGGAGGAGACCTAAAGAAACTCTGGGTTTACCGAAGAAAACCTGCTCCCGACCAGGTTAGGTTCACAGAGTAAGTTACCATGGTAACTGACTCCTGACTCTGAGTATAAGTTACCTCTCTTTCAGAAACGGGCTTGACTTACCCTGCTTTCTCATGTTTGACAAACCTCCCCATCT